GTCCTGTCATGCTGGACTGCCTCACAGTAATTTTAGGCAATGATTTAGGAAGCATCTTTTGATTTGATTCTACAAATGCTGTTGAATGTAAAATAAGGCTGATGAGATTAGTAAACATAGCAGTTAGTCCACTCCCATATGCCTTTCTTCTTAAAAACGAATTTCTTTGAAGAAAAAAAAATCATCCTATGGATAATTGCATTAGTGGTCTATTACACTGATCACCTTTTTAATTTTAGATGAGAAGGATTCCATTTGAGTAGAAGGAAAGTGGGAACACACCGCCCTTTTAATCCCCACGCATTCCAAAGTCATGGAGGCAGGGGTTCTCAGGCCTCCTGCTGCTTCCCATACCTAAAAGATATTTCAAGAGAATGGAGAAAGTTAAAATTTCCCACCACTTGATCGAAGTCCACCGTGGCTACGTTACACCACAGCCCGTGAGGGTGATTCAGAGCTTCACGGTAGTTGTTTGCTGCTGTATAGATGATTTTCATTCATGCGATTATTTCTGTCATCTTTTATGTTAATTTGGACAATGCTGACATTTAGACACTCCAGATTTTCAAATAGACACCCCAGACTATTTTCAAATAGTCACCCCAGTTTACATACTATTAAAGCCAGATAATCCAGGACTACTATTCAAAATAAAATTAAGTACACTTTAGGAGATAAAACAACCACAATAACAGTCAGTATCATGTTTGTTTTCTCTTCACCTACAGTGAATTACAGAATTCAAATACATTGTATTTTGCTTCAATTTTACAAGTTGAATGAGTCCTCATAGGTTTCATTATAGGATAAATAGGAAAATTCATTTGAAAATATAAAAGCAACACTTTGATTCAATAGTTAGGCTTTTACAGTATTAATATTCTATTTTACAATTATTCTCCCCTGGAACAGCTGTTGGCGTTCTAGAATTTCACTTCATGTAACTGAAACCTCCATGAACGTAGCTTTGCTCCCAAGTCTCTGTGTACACTTCCAAAGTGGGTTCAAGACGTTACATTCGAATCACGACGCTGAGCTATTTTTCACTTTTGATCACAAGAGGAAAAGTGGTATCTATGGCAACGGAAAAGTGGCAGTGTGGTTCTCGGCAGAGTTTTCATGTGACAAGAAATGACAGCCATCTTCGTTAAGTAATGCTACATCAAGACGCTGTCTTTTGTGTCACATTCACTGTGATACCCAAGATTGAGGAATTGCAACTGTAAAGGAAAAGATAGCTCGACAATTAAAATGCAGAGTAGCACGTATTTGGAGGAAATCCCTGTGACCTGCTTGCTGTTCGGTGTTTCATTTGAGGCAGTATGGATCGCTTGTGCAGAGTCGTGACTGGGTGATTGAAAGTGTCAGCCCTGGGTCTGCACTGGAGATGTTTTCATAATGGGAACTCAAGTTGAAGTACGTGGTGATTTTGACTTCTTTCTTGCCCAACTTCCATGAAAGTAGAAAGTTCAAGTTATTCAAAAGTTGTGGTTAATTAGTTTTAGTTAATATTTTCAATGAATTTTTTCTTTTTAGGAAAAAGAATAGCAACTATCTTCCTCGATACCCCTAAAGAACATAAACACATACACAAATGCACAAGTTATACATTTAAAAAAATATTTGGTTGAAGCTTCTTTCTTAATTGTGGTAAATATATATATGACATAATTTTACCCTTTTTGTCCACGGTGCTAAGGAAAAAACAGAATCTTCTCAGTGAGCTCCCCTCAGCTCTTTGAAATATTTTTCCTTTTTTCATTTTGATACAGAGTCTCACTAAATTCCTAAGTTGCCCAAGCTAAAGTTAAACTTGAAATCTTCCTTTTTCAGCTTTTCAGAGTCTGGGGACTGCAGGTGTGAGCCACCAGGACGGGATGCAAGTTTTACCATTTTTTAATTGCATTCCTTAATGACATTAAATACATTTACATTATTTACTTCATAATTATTTTATTATCATGTATTATTATTGATTTATAAAATAATATCTCAGTTGCAAAATTAAAACTCTGTTCTTACTGAAGGACTCTCATTTCTCTTCTTTCTCACCCCAGCAGCCGCCATCCAACTTTCTCACTGTATGCCTGATCACTAGCAGCATTGCATAGAAGCAGAATCACACAGCTCTTGTCATTACTATTGTTATTATTAATTCACTCAGTTGTTACAGGTTCTTGCTACATAGTGCAGACATGCAGTGATCCTCCTGCTTTCTTTTGTTTTTGGTGGAACCAGGGATTCAACTCAGGCCCTTGCAGTTGCCAGGGAAGCACTTATTCCACTGAGCCATCTCCCTGTCCCCATCCTCTTGCTTTCATTGCTGAAATTACAGGTGTTTGCCACCTTGTCCAGACTCTGGACAGCTCAGCCTGCCCTGGGGGGCAGGGTTGGCACAGAATGTGGTGCCAGGGATTGAAGCCCAGTCTCTGTGCTTGCCTAAGCAGGCACTTAATCTGCTGAGCTGTCTCTGGCCCCTGTCTTTATTATTTGGCTTATTGAACTTAGTGCAATACCTTTTTGGTTGCTCTATGTTGTATTATGTACCAGAAGTTCCTGTTTAAGGATGAACAGATCCCACTGCGTACTTACACCATCTTTTTTTATCCATTCATCCACTGATAGACACATGCATACATCAGCATTTTGACTATTGGTAGTCACGATTCTACAAATATGGATAAACAAATACCTCTTAGAGCCCCTGCCTTTAATATTTTTGGGTGTTACTCAGAAATAAAATTGCATTGCACTCTAGTTTTAATTTTCAAAGAGCAACCAATAGTTTTACATAATGGCTGCACCAAGTTACATTCCTACCAGCAGTGAGTAACCGTTCCAATTCCTCGACATCCTCGGCAACACTTGTTCTTTTCTGTATGCACCATGTGTCAAACAGTTATCTCAGTATTTATTGGAGGGTAGTGTAACGGTTGAAAATGTAGAGTCATGTATCAAAGTTCCTCAGTTCTGTGTGACATTCTGAAGCACTTAAATCCTTGAACTTCAGCTTTTCTGTGCATGAATAAGATAGCAAAAATAATGTTTGAATATATTTTAGTGAAACACACACAAGGCACTTCATTGAAACAACTTAATACAATGCCATTTATTTAACCTTCAGAACAGGTTGGTTACAACTGTCATTTACTCTCCAGTCACATAACTGGCCAACATTATAGATGAATTTCAGGGAAGTTAGAAAGCCCAGCGCCAGGGAAGTTGGGTAGCCCAGTGCCAGGGAAGTTGGGTAGTCCAATGCCAGGGTAGTTGGGTAGCCCAATGCCATGAAGGATCATTCATTTCTAGAAATATGATTACCTTCAAGGGAAAATATCAGAAAGTATTAAAAGTTATTTTTTTTTCTTCAAACCAAATTGGTAGGACAGTTTCAATAATTAACACATTGCATACATTCTTCCTAGTGGTTAATTGCTGTACAAGATGCAGACTTGATATCCTATCTACAAACACCATTAGAACAAATCCCTCTATTCATTAAGAGAATGTAACTATATATCTATCCTAATCACTTTGAATACATAGATACAAAATAGACATTCATCTGTATATCCTTTTTTTTGTTAAGTTCCATCATTTAAATATTATAGGTGTGTTAACTCAGCAAAATATTCTAAAAGAGTCCAGTAGCCCATATTAGTATTGGGTCTTCCACTTCAATGGCAATGTCAGAAATTGTTGACCTGAGTCCCCTACAGCTCATCATAACAGCATGGCTTTACTTCTTATACTTCGTTTTTATACTTTTCTGCTGGATAGTTAAGATCAAGGTAAAGCAGGACCTATGCAACAAGAGTTGTAGCTTTTGGGTCAGATAAGGTCAGTGAAATCCCCTCAAGATTTATCCTGAGATCCCGTACCTCAGATAGAAATGAATGCACTTATTCAAAAGGAAAGAGTTACTGAATTTTTTTAGAGTTATTGAATTGAGAAGGAAAGGAAAGGAACTCGAGGAAAGAGATTTATTTATTTATATAAGTAGGATGATTTCAATAACTGTACTGTGCATTTCTGTTGGTCTATGGAAGGAAGCAGTTAATGTTTTAAGTTGTTTTGTCTCTTTTTAAAAATTGTTTATAATTTTTCTCTTCTTAAGTTATACATTTCTTCTTTTTTCCTTCTAATTTTACACGCATATATCTGATAATATGAATAAATGGTTGGGGTCAGCTCTCACCCTGGAGAGTGCACTTCTTTCTACCTTCAATAAATGTAGGTCTGCTGCACAAAAAAATGAATAAGTGGTTGGAAGACAACACTGTGTATCACAACTAGTACTGTGAAACTCACATTACTTTTTAAGTGAAAATCTGTATCACTTCTGATTTGTGTGCTCTTTAAAATGTAATAAATAAATAAAAAGATATGACAAATACTTTTAAAAAATGCCATGAAGGAGTAATTAAAACTCTATTTCAAAGGCCTTACGCTTGTGCCACTATGCTTACAGTTTTGCTAGTGAAGGGGCATTGGAAGATGAATTTCAACATTAAAAATAAGCAGAATAAAATCACATTTTGTTTATGCAGTCTAACTTCTTTTCTTTTCCAAATCCCAGCTGCTCCATGACTGTAGACTCAGTAAACATTCTCATTTATGGGTTTCTTTACTTCCTGTATAATTTCATATATTCAAACAAACTGATCAGGTATTATTTTTTTTCAGTGTTTTCATCTCTTTTAATGCCTTGTTAAATTATTAAAAGGAATTATTCAACGTTTCCTTCCTCCTAATATTTAACTTTCATATGTAACATCTTTTCATTGTTCAATCTATATTTAATAGATTTCTCTGAAAAATATTTAACTGCTCTCAACTATTTTTATAATGTTTACGTGTTACATTTTATGTAGATAAAGTGTTTCAAGCACATACAGCTGTGGCATTGGGTGATCTATGAAATTAGGTGAACCAGGGTTGGATTATCAACCCTGCTATCCATATAGATATATGAAGATTCAAATAACACACAGAAAGTAGGACATACGTAATACTCACAGAATAAAAGCTAGTCTGGGCTGGGGAGACAGCTCAATAGAATAAGTGCTTGCCTGGCAAGCACAAGGTCCTGAGTTCAATCCCTGGTACCACAAAAAATAAACAAATAAAAAGAATAAAAGCTAGTCATTAGAAGAGTTTTTATTGCTTCTTTGAAATGCTGTTTTTCTCTATGTCTAGATTTTTGAAGTAGTTGTCTGGTTTGCACGAGCATCCTTTGAGTTCCAACTCTTTAAGCAAACTGTTGCAGCGTTAGTGAGAAGGTAAATGTCTGTAGGTTTTCCATTTGAACTACTGCTGCTGCTAGTGTGATGACCATACGGAAAGCAACTGAGTACCCACAGACAAGCCAAGACGGTGGCTGGGAGAGGTGCAAGCACAAAGCTAGCACCATCACTGCTGAAGAGGGGCTGCTAGCAAGGCCAAGAGCAGGCAAAGGGTGCGGGCGGGCCCTCAAGTGCAGCCAGGAAATCCGCCACACTAATGAACGACTGATTTTGAATTTCCTGAAAATGCAAATGCATACCTTACATCTCAAGAATTAAAAAAAATGTAAATATTATAAAGTAAATATTTGTGCAATATTTATTTTACCCTAATATATAATCAATGTAGAAAATGTGGTTTCAGAAAAATTACCATTTTTTTGCAGATTGTTTACTGAAGAGTCTCTACAATTGATGCAGAAAAGATACTTTTATCATTGGAGAACATTTGTTTCAGTAAAATAAAAAATCTAATTTTACATTTTAAACTATCTCTCAAATATTTGCTATTCTAAAGGAGAGAGATTGATACATTTCCTCACTAATACTGTAATTGCCTTTGTTTTCCATTAGGTATAAATTTTAATAATACATTAAGTTGTCAAATTCAACTTTAAGCAGTGGAACTCCCCAAATACAATGAATAATCTGATAGATTATCTAAAACACTAAACATACTTAACAGAAAGTAGTTATAAAATTTGAAACGCTCAAGAAGACTAATATATACCAAACACAATGAGTTACATTTCGTATCTGACAATAACATTTTTATTTTAATGAAGCATCAAACTCTATACCAAAAATTCATAATGAATATAACTTAATATAAATTTGAGATATTTTCATATATGTAGAGATTATAAACTAACACTTAAAATGACAAACACCTTTAAAACTGAGCAGGCAGCACAGGTACTGACAATATTCATTGAAAGCCAACAGAAATCGCTTTTAGCACTGTGATGCCTTTTGCCCTTCATTTCAGTGCCATGAGGTTGAGGAGTTTTCTGCTGATTTTTGGGTTTCTTATTGAATCATTTTGTTGATATGAATAAAAAAAGTCAAGATGAGCTTTGCAGCATGATTTTGAAGATGGAAAAGTTTCACAGGACTAGAAAAGAAAGCTTGCATACTGTAACTTCAGCAGGCACTTGGGATCAAACACGGAATCTGAGAGGCAGCTGCACGGCACCGATGAACAATTTTGTTCTCTGCAATTACCTTGATTGTACATAATCTGATTTAGGCTGCTCCGCTCGTGTGTGTGTGTGTGTGTGTGTGTGTGTGTGTGTGTGTGTGTGTGTCTAGGTAGCTAATCTTATGTAAGAGTTGATGCCTTTGGTGACTGAATTAGGTCAAAATACAAAAGACAAAATAGCTAATAAAGAAGAAACATTATGAAGATTTTAAATCAACAATTGTGTTCTATTTTGCCAAACCCAGAGCTTTGATGAAAATTGTTTATTGCATGGCCAAGTTCTTATCTGGAAGACATCTTCTGGGCTTTGAAGATTTTACCATAGTCTTAGAAATAAAAAATTGAGCAAATTGCAGTGCTTTTCTGTAATTTTGTAAAGCAGGGTGTTTCAAGATAAATTACACCTGTGGACTGTATCTGTCTTGTACCACAAAACACATGTAAAATACCTGTAATTTAGTCATTTCAAGGCATGCATGAAAAAGGTAATAAACACAAACACAGACATCCTAGTTTGCAGACATGCGGGCTTCACAAGTTACAAAGATCTCAGGCCTACTAAGTACCAAAGATGAAACCTGTACTACACTCCAAACTACAGAAAATTGCCTTCAAATTTAAGGCACAATTTATTTCAAATGGGCAAAGTTGTAGCTAGAAGCACCGAAGCAGACAGAGCTACACCTAGATTTATTCTTTTATAGTTACTGTACAAACCCACATACACATACATACAAGCAAGATATTCCCCACACGAAGCTTTCCCCTATTTAATTGTTACTGGCTTGCCTTAGGCTAAAAATCATTATTTCAAAGCATGTTCTTCTCTTCAGAAACTTTCTGAATTCCAGAGTTTCTCAAGATATTTTGGAATGCTAGGACATGTTTACCTGAAATAAAACTACGTTCATGCACTATGAAAGTTCTTATTCCTTATGGTAAAGTAAATTCAATAATGATCTTCACTTGATGTGTTGTTAAATAGCTTTCTTCTCTTGCAGTTGACAGTTGGTGATTTTGATCCCATCATTTTAAAGGAATACATATAGCTTCTGGCTGCAAAGATTTAACAGAATAGATAAATTCAACTGCAATATATATGTTTTGTTTTTCCATCATAAAATAGTAACATACAGAAAACATTGCAGTATTCTGTGCTGTTTTTTTCTAAAGACCACATATATCAGTCTCCTACATTTTTCTGACTTACGCTATGAATCACAGATTCAGCACTGTAAATATTACTACTTTCTTGACCATTCCGGAAATCGAAATATAAAAAGAGGCTAAAATATCTACAATTGGAATGTAGATACAATTCCCATGTGAAAACCTTGCTGGGAATAGAACCCTGAACAGGACTGCCGGAAAGCAAACCCTTTGTCTTTTATTTATTCAGACGATGAGATTCACGTGGCAACTCCGTGGTCCTCTGTACATCCTACAGGGAACTCTAATACAAACATGAAGCGTCAGTTGTCTGCCCCATGTTAATTCAGGAAAAAATGTACGATCATTAGCAAAATTCACCTTTTGGCAAAAAAGTAAAGCGCTAAGAGTAATAATGTACATGGAAGAATAGAAGAGTGAACAGTAAAGGAAGGGAAGTGTGTAGACTTCAGAAATAATGCTGATAGCTGAGGCTGTGACTACGGTCAGCTTTATGTTGTCCTTTCTGATACTTTGTCATACTCTTGGGATATCCACAGATTTTGCCTCTCCTTAGCAGCCTTATGTTTATTGTGGGGTTCATTCTGTGACACGCAACAGGGCCAGCCATTCACAGCACGCTTGTATTTGGCTTAATGTTTGCGGCATCTGAAATTGTTGATAGTAAAGTTTTTGGTCCTGAATTTTATGGGTACAATCCAATGA